CATGTATAGGTGAGCTCCATGCAAAATACTTCCTCATCGGGGAAGTCACTAAACAAGGGGGATTCTGCTGGTACTGGATGCGCTGTTAATAAAACTACTAAGGTCTGACTCTTGACAGTTTTTTGTGGCACATATGTAATGTCAAATTCCATTAGCAACAACAACCATTTAGCTAAACGTCCTGAGAGGCAAAGACGTGTCATAAGTTCCTCGATTGTGAAGAGGTTTTCATCTGGGAGATCCGTGTTGATGGGAGTGTCATCTGGCAGTGCGTGTTCAGCCAAGTGGTCAGCAATGACTTGTCTTTTGATCAATTTTTTAGTAAAAAATTTGATCTCGAACTCGCTCAATAGCATTCTCCACTTCGCCAAACGTCAGTTACAGACTGGTCTTTCTAATAGGTACTTGAGTGGGTCAATTTTTTAGATAAGATTGACTTATGAGATAAATCAAATTAAGCCTACCTTCATATAGTATTGAGAAATGTGGTTTCAATACTAGAAATCTTTGTGATAGCCTTAAAATATTTTTTTATCTTTATTTATAAAGTTTAAAGCTTAAAAAGTAGTGTAGACTTGAAACTTTCAAATCAGGTCTGATCTACAAGCTCTAGTGAAGCTTATGGTCAAAATTTGAGTCAAAAAAAGGTATTTTATTGTTTTTAATGAGATGTTTTTGAAAAAACAGCGTATCTACAAGATTTTAGATCACATGGTAGGCAGAATGGACTAGGATGGCCTATGTTTGAGGGGGCTTGCACCCAGCTCAGTCCAGGTCCGAACCAGACTCACACTCAGATCCAAACTTAGACCCACCCTTGGTCCGAGCCGAGACTGGTACCTATTTACTCTAGATCTTTGTCTAGTTTTTAGCATAGGTCCAACCTTAGAGTTGCCTCTAGAGATAGACTAGGCTTACCCTAGTTCAAGATCTAAACCAAAACCTGTTGAGTCTAAACTCCAGTCTAGTCTAGGCCTAGGTCTCACTTAAGGTTTGCCCCTAGAGTCAGGTTAGGTCTACCCTAAGTCATCGAGTCTAGATCTTATCCAAGTCTAGATTCTAGGACTCTGTCAAGAGCGATCACCATGTCAGTCACTCAAGGCGACTATGATGATTACCAACTCTAAGCCCAACCTGGGCATAACTCCCAACCTAGGTGGAGTTTCAAATGCCTCCAACACAGGGCTTTAAACTTATCCACAGATCCTTAAGATAGTGGCGATTTGAATGAAATCAAACCTCATTTGTTAGGTC